GGTCAGGATATGTTCTGGTTTGACTCGTCACAAGGCCGGAACGACAGGTTTCAAATGCAGCTGGGTGTGACTGTAAAAGTCATTAAACAATCCTTCACTCGCTGATTTAAGATTCATAGGATTTTATTGAAGCACATTTCGTTGCTAATTGTACGTGGACACTGAGGTAGAGTTTAGTTCGTGCTTTGGAGTCTGCATGGCTTTAAGTTGTGAGCCTTCAGGGTATGAGATAATTCGTAAAAATGCGTATTCGCTGTAAAAGGTGGCTGACGCTGACGTGAAATTAAAGCGGAAGGTTGTCATGATAAGTACAGACATAACACTGTTTCCCGCCCATTAATACAACAAGCACACATTAATGCAGAACGTGGTCATGAAACACAGACACAACACTTTTTCCCGAGATTGGAACATAAATCATGAAGACTCATTACGCATTTAGACGAAAGCTCTACAGTTTATTAATATATTCCGTTACATAACACAATACACGAATGCGTTCATATTGTACAAACGTCCTTCTACTTCTGAGCTAAGTGATCTTAATTAAGATATGTCAAGTAGCTGATTGTCTCCTCCGTTCTATAAAGGGTAAGGTTTCAATGTTGTACCAGTTTGGGATTAAACAGCACTAGGAATGAAAGCTTGGTGGCTGCCTTTCTGTTCGATTTAACCTCATGAGAGCGGTCAAGTCTACACAAATTGAAGACACGTTTCTGTTCGCAAACTCATCGCCGGTGACATTTCAAATACAGTAAGTAATACATAGATCACCCTTGACTATTTTTATCCAATACAAGTGTTGCCAGTTGGATGATATGGCAATAAGTTTCTCGAAATTTAATACGATGTTTACAATGGCAAATCTTCATTTTTACACGGAGACAATGCACGTTGTATTTATACTGTGTATGCTATTGTAATAGAATCCGAAAAACGTGGATGAAGTCGCCGTTTTTTGAGGAGTGAAAAAATAGGCCATTCACCATGATGTTTTACTCGTGACATAACAGGGAGAATATCTTAGCTATAACTGTAACGGAAGACATCCTTGGATTCACAATTCAGAGAACATGGGATGCTGGTTGCCGGTTAATCTCTTCAGGTAAGGTCAGAAGAAATGCAATAATGGTATATTTTAGCTATATGTTAAAATTCAATAATTATGAGTAATTGTAGAGTTTGAAACATTTATCAACATTACACAAAGGAGATAGAAGGAAACTGTATTTGCTGTTAATCGTTATATAAACATACTTTGAAACTACAATGTAATGTATTTGAAGTTACGGGACTAAGTGTGATTATGAATTAGTTAGCATAGAAATACATCAATCACGTTTCTTATCAAAAACTATCAAAGATCCTTTCATATAGCTTTTATAAGTACATGTATTGTGTCCAGTATTTCAGTGGAGTCTTAAATTGAGGCTTGTAAAGCCTTTGCGTTGACACTTTATTCAACATTGTTTATAATATTCACACCATTTCAGAATATGTACTCATAAAGTTAAAACTTTTTTCAAAATGATATAATGTGTGAAAATGAGTAAATACTGACATATACGTGTGTCCAGACGCTACAAACGGACTGTTTCTCACAAACCTGTGGGTACGAAACCCAGGTGAGGTAACTTGCATCAAACATTTGTGAGGGATCAAGTTCCAGGTCCGTGATTGGCTTCTCCATGGTGCTGAGATACATGTAAGGTCAGCGTATGACGGACTACTTTCGTGATTGTAAACCAGTTTGTGTCGAACTAACTTGCATCAGTGTCGAAACTTGATAGTTTTAGTTTGTGTTTCAGGTCCAATCTATACTACTGGAATAAAGTAACTGTTTATTAGTTGTTGTTACGCCCTTTGACACTAGGCATCGTGACACGCTCTTGAAGAGATGTAGTGTCAAAAGTCAGTTCACAAATACAGTATCGTGTGTGTTCGCCATTGGCGTTAATGCACGCGCGGGGGTAGCATGGTGGTTAAAGCGTTCGCTCGTCTCGCCGAAGACCCTGGTTCGATTCCCCACATGGGTACAATGTGTGAAGCCCATTTCTGGTGTCCCCCGCTGTGATGTTGCTGGAATATTGCTAAAGATGCCGTAAAACTAAACTCACTCACTCACTAATGCAAGCTTGACAACGACGACGCATAAACAACACTAAGCGATTCAAGAAAGCTTGGGGATTGTCAGAACAAACGCTTGCATCAACTAGCGCGATACATGACATCGATATCACACTTCATGTAAAGTGCTCTGTTACATAATCATTTAGGGTTATTTTTATAACTTTTCAAATAACTTTTATGTAATTCAAATTTGTGTTATGCACAGTTACTTTTTTCCGTTAGAATAGTTTCATCTTCGCTTTGATAATCAGCAGGAAAAACAGACATTTGTTGTGGAGTGTCACACTTGGGAAGAGTTTTAGTAGAACCATTGTTATGTACTCGGCGTCATTAATGAAGGGTCAAGCAAACTATTGGTAACACTATTCCTTAAAAGTTGTAAAACCTTCGTTTTTGTTTGAAATATATACAACTGACCGTATGGAAAAAATACACCAGACCATTGAAATGTCATTATTGCGTTCTTTCACGTCCGTTACATTCTGTTACAAATGGCACATTTTTATTCAATTTGTCAATATAGAAAACCACCTGCCACTTAAAGTCAATGACGTGAAAATCGCTCCTATCCATGGAAAGTGGAGGACGATACACATGCATTGATTTTTTTTCACTGTCGTTCACTGTTCAGGTACCTGTTTAAAATGGCAGCTTAAAATGAGGCGTGTTTTGACACTTGCTGAAAAGGGTCAGGCGACAGGCCTTTTGGATTCAGGTCAAACTCAGCAACAGGCTGCTGTTCGCTTTAATGTGAGTCAGAGTGCTATTGGTAGACTGTGGCAGAGATTTCAAGCCAATGGGTTCGTGGAATATGCACGTCGACCAGGTCGCCCCAGAGTCACAACAGTCCGGGATGATAGGCACATGATTAACACTGCGTCACGTAATAGATTCCTTAACGCAGCAGATCTTCAGACAGAACACTATCATGGTCGACCCTCTTTACTGCAAGACGACAACGTTAGGCCTCATAAGGACAGGACTGTCCCGGATTTCCTTAGGCAGCAGGCTGTAGAGCGGATGGAGTGACCACACACGCTCACTAGACTTCAACCCAATTGAACATGCCTGGGATGAACTCGGTCGACGTGCGTACGTACGTCACCTAGCACCAGTGGATCTCCCAGGACTCCGCAGAGCTCTAGGAGAAGAATTCTGCAAGCTTACGTTATGAACTTGATAAGGAGAGTGAGAACAAGCTGCACCTGTGTCTTGGACGCGCGAGGATGGTACTCAAGATATTGAATGGCCGAGTGCTTCATGTTTGACTTATGTCATTTTCAGTTTGGGGCGTAGGTCTATACAACTGATGTTTGCTGGTGCTGTTTGAACTTTTTGACTGAATGTCACGATGTGTCACGTTTGTTAAGACATTAAACATTACGATGACACTCTTAGTTCTATTATTTTCAGAAACCTTTCTTTACATGTGCTATATATCATTTGACCGTTTATGAATGACGCCTAGTATATTAAAGCGGGACTGTGATCATGACAATAGAAATAGATATAGGACAATCCGATGATAAAGGCGATGTAAGAGTGCGTAAAAAACAGATTACTGCAGTCGTGCCTGTCAGATACCAGTGATCTTACAACTTGTTAGATACGTTTTGAAACAAGTCGTAAGATAATGACACTCGTGTTGTAATGTGTCTCATGCATAAGTGCATGTGCATTCGCTGATTACATCATTTGCAACGTATGAGTTAAGATTATAAGATTACACGCAGTCCCTCATCAAGCAAAGTTATTCGAACACTAACACATGCAAATGCATGGTTAATGTGTTGACCTGAACAAACAAGAAATAGGAAACTTCAACATAATACACACACACACCCACCCCAATCCAACCCATAACCCCAAAATGTCAGACAACAGGAGTTGTTGTTTTTTTATACATATCAGTATCTTTGACGTTTCGACTTTTATTCAGAAATACTCAGCTGCATAGTTTCTTTTCAACAAGAGACCGGCTACGAATATCAGTAAGGGCAACCAGGACACAACTAAAAAATGTCTTTCTTTTTATGTCATGTTTTTATTTACCATTTGTTAAGGCATTTATAGGTACAGTACATGCAGTCAATGTGTGACGTTGAAAGGTACAATGGTGCTGATATACAAGGTATGCAAAACAATCAATGATATAGGAAAAGTCTGCAAATGCCATCAGATGGCACCATAACCTCACTTATTTATAGGTACATTACATACATTACTAGGCAATTTGTGACAATTGTGCTGATATGCATACAAAACAATCAATGATATTTTTGTGTGTGTGTGTGTGTACACATATGTACGTACATGTATGTGTATGTGTGTGTGTAAGTATGTATGCGTGTATGAGTGTATGTATGTATGTATGTATGTATGTATGTATGTATGTATGTATGTATGTATGTATGTGTGTATGTATGTATGTATGTATGTATGTATGTATGTATGTATGTATTTATGTATGTATGTATGTTTGCATGTTTGTATGTATGGATGGATGGATGGATGGATGGATGGATGATGTACACAACTAATGCACTCACTTGCGAACTCATGAAGTCACTCATGAACTCATGAAATCAGTCTTTGTTTATTTGCAAAGGGTCCATGTAGACCATCAGCCCATGGTACATAGAACATCTGTCCACAGAGTTTTAGTATTTAGTTGAACATATTATAGTCGGTGCAACACGTTTGCAACAACATGAAATGAGTCATGAACTTACGATCATAGCCTGATCATCATATCCAGTGTCAGAATCATCAGCAACGGTCCACACACATTCAGTACTATCAGCTGTAAAGAAATATTACACCTGGAATGAAACATATTTCTAATGTTCTCGATTTCGGTGTTAGCAGTCATGTCCACACTGTTCCTGATCCTTGCTGCATGTGTGACTGGGTGTTTAGCCATTGAGAGACACTACTACATCGCTGCCGTTGAAGTCCTCTGGGACTTTGCCCCAAGCGGAAAGGATCTGGTCACCCCTAAAAGGTAACTGATTCTTTAACAAAAACATATAGGACTATAACCAGTATGTGAGTATTATTTACTCCACTATTTGCTATAAATGAGAAAAGTTACACTGATAAACAGGAAAACTACTTCATGCATTTCATATAGACTAACGCTTAGTCTCTGAATATATATAATTCTAATAGTAACAAACAGGCCGGTTTAAATTGAAAAGGATCTAGACTTGCCTCATTTAGTGTTTGAGCATTGCACGAAACAAGAGGGCTAGGCAGTAGGGAAAATAATGTGGTTCAGGGACATTTCATACTATATATGTTCAGAAACGAACCCTCACAGTTAACCACAACTATTCTGGAAACGTGTTAGGATAATTACCCAGAACAGAATCATTTGGGTAATGTTACTTATGATTAATGATGTACGTGAATGATCCTATATCCATACATATCCATCCACAATCAGGCTGATTTCTTAACTTGAAATGTGAGTTGTCTGTCAACCCTATAATCTCTCGTTTCAGTAAGATTCAGTTCCAGTATGCTTGGGTGGCATATACCTGTGATGATTTAAAAGAAAAACCTTGAGAACAAAATGAGCTTTAGGACCTTTTATGCATACTTGGCCATAAAATATTTCTAGCAATGCACATCTTTACACCTAATATCTTTTAAGTCGAATCTTTGTGGCTGATTCCTATACATTGCAACGATATTTCAGTTAAAAGAATGGGTAAAACTGATTTCATGTTTTTGTAGATTAATGCTTAGTTGTAGCATTACAAACTGAGAGATTTTGTAGTAGGTTGTAGCAGACACTAGTGGTATTCAAGGGAATTGCCGACTGCCATGAAAATAACTAACATCATAAATCAGCATGTGATACATTATTGCACATTTTGTCCTTTGTTTATAGCTACAATGTCTCAAGTGATGCCGAGTTTTACCTGGAAAAAGGCCCGGATCGACTTGGACACGTGTACAAGAAAGCCATCTATAAAGAATTCACAGACGCCACGTACACCGTGGAGATACCAAAGCCAATATGGCTGGGATTTGTGGGTCCAATACTTAAGGGTGAAGAGGGAGATGTGCTTATCATTCATTTCAAAAACTTTGCGAAGAACTACACATATTCTATGCATGCCCATGGTGTGAAGTACAACAAAACCAGCGAAGGTAGGTGCTCGGTTGTCAAACACATATCCCTGGTGATTATAACTGAAGAGATAACGTTCTCCATAATTCAAAGAATCACATAAGGAAACAGTTATAAACGTCCTCCACGTAAGGGGGTGTTCTCTTTCAGTCTGAGAAGTATGGCATCTAGTTCCCTATACACACGCCTGCGTGTCTTGGCCAGAATCCGTCTGGGCACGTTTTGCTTTGTCTGTTGATTCAATGTTCCTGTTCGTATCGATGTCCACACCAGGGATCGTATCCTAATAACCATCTTGAGGGGTGGCATCACAACTTTAAGATCCTGATCGCCAAAGCCCACCCGAACGTCTTCCGTTTTGTCACAAACATCAAGAACATTGAATCAAAGTGTATTCTGTCAGGACGAAAAGAAAAATATCTAATTTAATCAAAAACACTATATAAATTATCTTCCCTCATTTGGAAGGAAGCATAACATTATTCTTTCATTTGTATTTGCATAAAAGAAGGGATTATCAAAAATGTGAAACAAACTTCCGTATACTATCATTTTACCAACACTGCGATATTGACCATGGAATAATGTAACGTTCACTTTGATTTCAGTGTAATAAATACGCGAGGTTCCTCATTCACACATACCATACAAACCGACAGCTCAATACAAAACAAGATTTAATCAACCAAATTCTGTACAATACAGCTTTCACTTCCTGTGCATACCACTCTGTTGGCGAATGTCTTTGGTGCATTACAGCGTTAGAGCGATGATCACATCGCGACATGTGGAACCAATCTACAGTTCTTCCAGAAGCTGTCTTAATTGACTTGGTTCATCTATTAACAAAGGAGTAGGCCTAGTTAATTGGAGAATCGTAACTGACTTGACACTCTCATCAATTAACAAGGGATTTTGTCTTAGCACGTACAAGGAACAATCATTTAGCATAACACACCAGGTATCTCTCTTTGTACATTCTCATATATCTCGGCTTTCCAAAAATGTAATTTTTTTAAAATCTCATCAATAAAAAAATAAAATTGTAAATGTCTAGTAAAACCTCATCTTTACAAAATTGTAAATGTCTTGTAAACCTCATCTTTTGAAAAGATTTACAAACTTGTAAATGTTAACTTTTTGCAGTTGTATTTACATGCGGCCGCCATATTGGTGGAATATTGCTGAATGCGGAGTTAAACAAAAACGCAAACAAATCAATACATCACAGGGGCGCTCTATGCTGATGGCTTCCACAACACAAATGCTGCTGAGGATTTAGTGAAGCCTGGTCACAGCCACATCTACAACTGGACCATCACCCCAGAGGCCAGCCCCACACCAGATAGCCCCGACTGCCTCTCCTGGATCTACCATTCACATGTCCATCCCAATGAAGACACCAACGCCGGCTTGGTTGGGTTCATATATGCTTGTAAACCTGGTAGGTTTGCTGGTGTAAACTATGTCAATGAGTATGGTTTTATGTCGCGATTAACAATATTCCTGCAAAATTACGACGGGGGAAACCAGAAACTGGATTGACTTATTTCGGGAATTGAACCCGTAATTTCGCCTTGACGAGTAAACGGTTTAACCGCTAGACGCCCCTACTGCTCCACTATTAAAGGAACATTAAGTGGTTGCAGATGGCGTAGGTCATGCTATTAATGAGACAAGTACAGTGCGGTGCCTGATTTGTTAGATCTCACAGTTTCTGGATTCTCTGATAAGGGAAAATATGGAATGATTCCAAATCTCATGTGTCATTGCTTGTTTCCTATGTATTGTCATAACCCTCTGACTGACGAGCACCTGTTTGGGGCTAGAATGTGTTTTTGCACTGATTTGTCAATACATTTACACCGTTTCCGAACTTTTCAGTTCCGTACCTAACCACTTCATGTTGGCATATTTGAAGATAATTAGACACTAAAGGCCATTGTATAGAGCGGAATGATTTGACCTCTGCTAACTTGGATGTCTGATGGAGTGCCATGTCATACCCTACCATCTTATTACTGTTGGTAGATTGTTTAGACGCTACTGATCCTTTCATTTAAATGTGCAATTTCATCACTTTCACAAATGTGCCCGAGACACCTCTAACACAATATCGTTGCTCTTGTATATGAGTTTGTGATGTTTTTATGTGGGACATGTCCCTGTTCACGGTAGTGAGTGTGTTAAAATTAAAAGTCATATCGGCAGTATTTCAGCCATATTGTGACTATGAAAGTGGTAGGCCTGTCGACACTAAAAGAACTATACCATCACAGATTTAAACTTAAAACTGGCTTGTAACCATTGAAATATATATAAGAATTGGCTATAGATCGCTGCAAACTCATTTTACATCACCATACTAGAGACTATGGGGACTTCCAGAGCTTTTGCTACCAGCATGGATTCGAGATGAATTTCCACCATCGCTTCAGGTGTTCGCGGTTTTGACAAAAAAAATAGTCATGAATTCAACAACAAAGGATTCTTCGATTATAAAACGTGGTAGGAATAAACGTACTTTTAATGACGTGGTTTCACTTTCGTACTCAGGGGGACAATCATTTACAGTACTTCAACCACTTTCAGTGATACAGAATGTGTGTATTAACTATACATCTTCCGTTTGTCTGTTTATCAATGTATTCAGATTATTCTTAACGATAACTTATTGTTGCTCCAGGTACACTGAGCCGTCCGAATAAACAACGTCATTACGCCATTTACGTCAGCAAGGTCAACGAATTTAGAAGCTGGTACATATACGATAATATCAACATGTTCGCAGGAAATGTGTCTTCAATAGATTTGAATGACCAGCGTTTCCAGAAGTCAAACGCCATGAACTCATTCAACGGCTACATCTACGGGAACTTGCCGGGAATCAACGCTTGTCAAGGGGAGACAATCGTCTTTCACTTGGCCGGTCTTGGCCACACAACTGACCTGCACACACTCGCCATCAGCGGCCATACGTTTGGTCAGTTTGAACACAGGTATGATGTTGCATCATGAAATGAAATCAAACCTAACATCCCTTCATAATTTATGCCATTTCAAAATTTGTCCAATGTTTAAATTTGGGTGATGTAGTAGAATCCCATATATCAGCAATGGATTGAGTGAGTGAGTTAAGATTTAATGTCACATCGGCAATATTTCAGCCATATCGTGACGAGAACATATTTGACATTGAAATGTCATCAGTGGAGAGAGAGAGGGAGAGTGTGTGTGTGTAAGAGAGCGAAAGAGTGAGAGAGAGAGAGAAGAAGGAACAGAATAAGAGATCAAGAGAGAGAGAGCGAGAGAGAGAGAGAGAGAGTGAGTGAGTAAATATTATTTAACGCTTCAGCAAGGTTGCATGCAGCTATTCACTGCGAGGAATGTCATAAATTCAACTCCATGTTAACAAACTCAGTAAAATAACACATTCAAGGATACAAAGTGCCTATTAAAATAAATATCTTTATTTTGTCATACAATTTTATTTCTAATAAATGTGACAAAATCAAGTGGTCAGAATCTGTTCAAGAAAGGTCTGATAGGCGTGCTTACAAGTTATAAAAAACAAATCATAAATGCAATTTGAATATCCGTTAGATTCATCTTGCATAATGATGCATGTTAACAGGCAAAACTCAGTGCGTATCGAGGTGGCCCAGTTCGCTACCGTCACGATGCAGGCTCGGTCAGTTGGAAGATGGCTCATGTATGATCAGGTTACATCTCATTTTTACGGTATGTCCATTAAATGAGTAAATGTGTTAAGATTTTAATCCGCATTGGCAGTATTTCAGCCATATCGCGACTAAAACAAGTTCTAAATTCATGTTATCGTGTCCATGTTACCATGGACCTTCGACTTCCAGTATTTGATCATGAACCATGCTTAAGACACCTGGATGTGACACCCTTTTCAGCTGGGATATTTCTGAGTTAAACAGCAAACCGACCAACAAAACCGTGTCTCATCACGCCGAGCTTGTCATATGAGTGTCAAGCCTCATTTCAGACTCCCAATCCATGAAGTCGCTCCGAAGGACGTCGTAGAATTCGTTTTATGCACTTCCCCAGTTGCTTTAAAGCCTGACTACGGCATCCAGTTCAATTGATAAAGTTCCACCTTGCTTCTCCTTGTTCCTCCATGGGTTGCTGATCGTTTTGCAGCTGGTACAAGTGCATTTATCAACATTGGCACATGCAACAATCTGCTCTTCAAACCCAAAAGAAGGCTCCGGGGAGAATAAGGAAGTACTTCATCGCAGCAGAGGAAGTACTTTGGAATTATGCCCCCTCTGGGAAGGACCTGTACGATGGTGGGAGTCTTACTGAGGGGTACGTAGTATTTGTTATTCGTGCTGAGGCAGACCATTATTCTGTTGTCAAAAATACCAATTTCGTAGCTCTAAATATAACACGAAACTATTCATATATTTACCCTCCCGTGAATGTTGTATACAGTATCTTCGGTGTCTCAGAAATGTTGGCCAAAGGTCCAACGTGTAATTAAGAAGTTTATTAAGAATATTATTTGTTATGGAAAAAAACACTATCAAACTATTCACAAACTTACAGATTGTTATCCTACATCGACGCAGATATTATTTTTTTCAGATTTGCCCAAACATATTTCATGAGGAACAGAAAATTTATAGGAGGAACGTACAAGAAGGCTGTTTTTGTGGAGTTCACTGACAAGTCGTTCAAAGTACAAAAGCCACGAATGGAAGATGAAGAGCACCTTGCCCTCCTTGGTCCTCCCATCAAGGCGGAAGTGGGTGATGTCGTACACGTCTACTTCCTCAATCGGGCCTCACGTGGCTACTCTATCCATCCACAGGGAGTTCATTTCGACAAGGTCAACGAGGGCATGCTGTACAATGATAATCATCCAGGTGGATATTGCAGTCCTAATACATGATGTGCCAGTGTACCATACGATGGTTTAGAGGACTATCATACACAAAATGACCCGTGAAAATCCGGGTTTGAATTTGTCTTTCGCAACCTATGCTTGTCGTAAGAGGCGACTAACGGGATTGGGGTGAGGTTCGCAGGCTTGCATGAACAGGGGCGTAGCTACCATTATAAAAAAAGCCTGGTCTTACACATGATTATTGCTAAAAAAGGTTGGGCAAGCCCTCAATACTATCTAAATATAAAACTTTGCAACCTATCGGGCTACGCGCCTGATGAAGCATGTCACCGTATCCCTATTGTGTAGATAGATGGTCATGATGCCTGTCACTGGACTGTCAGCTCCAGAATAGATTATTTACAGACCGGCTGTGTCGAACAGTTGACTCATCTGGGGATCGGTTGGTCAAATTACATAGCAGGCTGATTCATTGTTTGTCACTGGAAAATAAGTCATAATAATAATGTACACAATGTGTACAGCGCCCTATATGATTTAGGAACTGAAACAATATAAGGCGCTTTACAGAATGGGTCACAAATGCTACTGAATGTAGGCTGATTTAAAGGGATGTTTTTTTACGCCCTTCTAAAAAATGTCATAACATGTTGAGAACTGACGTATTTGTTAAGTTGAACACTGTTACTTTGGGTGATGTAACACCTGACTAATAGGGGTGACCAGAACGGCCGTAGAATACGACGACAAAAAATATAGACTCCCATAGAGACCTTATGGTTATAATGTAGTTGACTGTAAAAAGTAACCAACAGCACAAACTCACTGTTGTGTCACTGTATATTGTATGTTACTGCTATCAGTAGCCCTTGCACCCTGACTGTCATTACCACGAGCTGGTTGGCCTGGAGGAGGTAAGCTGAAACGTACCTTCTCATTCCCATTATTCAGACAAATCCAAGAGTTTTGTGAAACCGGGGAACATGGTGAAATACCATTGGACTGTGCCAGCTGACATGGGACCCAAGCTGCATGACCCAGATTGCATCAGTCGCTTCTACACTTCCGGTGTTGACGTCATCAGAGACAGCTTCAGTGGCCTTGTCGGGCCTCTGCTGGTGTGTCGAAAGGGAGCCATAGGGGACAATGGCAGGCAGGTGAGTAGTGGACATGGAGCAGCTGCCGGTCATTTAGTGCAAGAAGCCTCCATCCGATGAAGTGAGTGAGTGAGTTAAGATTTTAAATAACATCGGCAATATATCAGCCATATCGTAACTAAAACTAGTTCTAAATTCATGATAAATACATAATATAATTTATAAATCCCTGTCAACGAAGGACAGTAAAATTACTAGATTATCACAGATTTGTTAAAACTAGATCACACAAAATTTAAATTATATACAAACAATTACTACTAGGCTGTTTCTCCAGAGCTGTAATAACGTGAATGTTTCATAACCCGTTTCAATAATGATGTCTTGTTCCTTTTTCCTCCAGGTTGGGGTCGACAAGGAGTATTTTATTTTATTTTCAATGATAGATGAAAACTATTCTTGGTATCTGGATGAAAATATGAAAATGGCTGGAGTAGACCCAAAACGGAATAAGTCGGACATTGAATTTATTGAATCAAATACCATGCGAAGTGAGTATTGACATTAGTCCCTGTATTTATGAGTGAGTGAGTGATTGAGTGAGTGAGTGGGTGGGTGGGTTCGGGTGGTTTTGGGCTCTTGGGTTGTTGGGTGAGTGAGTGAGTGAATATGGGTTTACGCGGCTTTTAGCAACATTCCAGCAATATCACGACGGGGCTGTATTTAGGAACAACTTGTTTCACTTCATTACGATCTACAACCAATCGCTATATTCTACTAACGATCTTTAACAATCTTTGCAATCCAAGGCTAATACACATTTTGGACTGATAGTAGACGATGTCACCAGAATTACTTGTGTCTCCCAGAAGACTTATGAGAGTTGTATGGTTACAACGTGAAACATTTAAAACCAAAATACTTTTAGAAAAGTGATCAAAATATTTGTGATTAAACTATTTTTCGTAGATTGTATATTTGAGTAAGAAAGTATAATCAGTTACGTTCTGAATCATGGGAGCCGTGCCAGATTTCCACATGCCAAAAAGGGTTACACAAACAACGTGATTTAGGCTCCCAGTTTTCAGATGTATATCTTTGTTCAAACCTTGGTGGTTGAGTGGGTTAGATCGGTGATTTTATAGGCGATTTGATGACTTCTTGTATATTGTTCTTGAAAGGCATTTAGGACTTGGACAAACATGGACAATTTGTACGGATAATAACGTCTTTTTATTCTTTATCGCTAATTATTGCCCTGTTAAGAGGCGAAAAGGATAGAGGCGCAAGATTTAGCTCTGAATATCGTGATAAAGAGGAAAACAGAAGTTGTTTTCGATTAACGTGTCATGAATTCGATTTCTTGTATAGTAACAATATATATGAACATTCCTCATGTCCATGATATGGCCATATTATACAAACCTTAGAGGTTTAAAGCAATGTACCTTTCAGTTTATTGCAAAAGTCACCTTCATGTGATTGTTTCTAGGCATCAATGGACTGATGTACGGCAATCTCCGTGGTCTCAACATGTGCAAGGGGAACCGTATCAAGTGGCATGTATTCGCTTTGGGCGGGTGGAATGACCTTCACACTCTGTATATCCATGGTAACGAGTATGTGAATCATCATCAGCATAAGGTGTCAACAGGACTGGTCCCTGGAGCGCTGAAGACTTTGACAATGCTTACAAGTAATACTGGTAAGGGCCACACACACGCACGCACGTACGCGTAGAGAGCGCTCATAGATTCATTGGATTTTTTTAAATTTACATCGACTTGAAGAGTGCATTTTGGTGCGAAGGTTTCAAAAAGCTTTAGGCCTGTGAAGGGTGTGGCCGAATATGCAGCATATGTGATTAAAATTATGTCCAATGCATTTCCATGTTTGGACATGTGTGTTCTGTCCAGGTGAAAACTTGATGCGCAGGGTTCGTTTAAATATTCTGCAATCCACTTGTAGTGTTATCGGGTGGGTCGGTTTCATCCTTATTCAAGAGAGATCCATGATGTATGAGGCATCGTGTAATTAAACAAATATTTGTCTTGTTTCTCATGAGTAAAGACAGTGTTGTGTCGTTTTTATTAACATGGCACCAATACATATATGTAGCAGTTTAGACTTGAGGATTATAGCGTATCAACTGTAGTAAGTTATAAAATATGAGATTTCGTACTAGCATTGTTGTACTAGGAACTTGCCCTTTGTGTTACCGAACAGTAAATGACTTCTTTTTTTGGTTCTTTTTTTTGTTTTGGTTGCTCTATTTCTAATCTTCTGATTAGGAATAGATGAACATGAATAACATGTCATATAACAATCTTATGGCAGTTAACTTTATGTTTAAGGTGTGTGGGGGATTGAATGTCATGCAAATCTTCACTTCCGAGGTGGTCTGAAAGCAATGTACAGCGTTAAGGAGTGTGCACCTGGCCCATCCTCCACTTCTGCGCCCCTTCGGGGTGTTGAACGTGTGTATTTCATACAGGCAGAGGTGGTGGAATGGGAATACGCCCCGGATCACAGAGATGAAGTTAGCGGTGAACCATTCAACACTGAAGGGAGGTATGTTGACCTGTAGAGGTCATTGTGAAGTTGGATAGTTCTGTGGTTTCATCGATATAACCCCTGCCATGTAAGCAATGGGTCCTTGGTTCAATCCCGACCGTGTCATGTCATATGGTTTAAGCACATTTTTATTCCCAAAGAATCTGGTTTGGTAAACGAGCAAAACTTTGCTTAAATTAATTACTCACCATATCATATATGTCACACGCAAGAAGCATTATGTATTTGTAAATTGTGAACTCAAATAGAGAAAGAGATGCTTGAAATTGGAGAGACATTGAAACAGGGGATCCTTGGGAACAGGGAAAACTGAAAGAAGAAGCGGTAAAATCCATCCTAAATTTACAAAAGGTTACAAGCTTTGTAAATATTGTCTTTACTAAATTTGTAATCTTTAGTAAATTCATGTTTGATATTGACATATTGTAATTTTTTGTAAATCACCATTTTATTTCTTGTGAACCAGTCTGGGTCATGATCCACAAATCGTCCGAAGCGCTACGACATTCGTAAGCCTATGATAAACTATAAAGGCTTGAGAGGTCGTAACGAACGTTACGAACGCTTTGTGTATCGGTGCCCTGGACCAAAGTATCAAGTGATCAATAACGTCAGCATCGGTCGGCGCAATTAGGATGCGATGACTTGGGTCAACCAAGTCAGCGAACCTTGCCATCCGATCGCCTCTTTCGACAAGCATAAGTTGATGGCGACCAATTCTAACCCGGACATTCACGGGTTGTGGTGAACTTAGGAAACTCTGTTTTAAAAATTGTAAATATTTGTAAATCACCTTTTTGTCTTGTAATGGTTCTTTACCATAAATGGCACTAAGCATGTCGGGAACAAAACAAAGGTTGTTCGGCTCGGAATCAGTATACTGTGTCTGAGGGGTATCCATGTAAAATTGCCTCATGGTGCCTGAGGGGCTAGTACGAAAGCCTATTTGAGCCACTTTTGTAACGCGTTCTTGTCATTTCTATTATTTGTATATTTTTTCGAAATTTTGAGGTTTTCCTCTTTTCTTCGATTAGTACTTATTATTACTAATTCATAGGTAAACTGATGGTGATCTAGCCCTTTGATTACTGAAAAAGGTAAATTAGGAATAGTGATTTTGTTTTCTTGCAGACCGGGTCAAATGTATACCAACCATACCGACATCCTACTTGGAACCAAATACATCAAAGCTGTGTACAAGGAATATACTGATGCCAAATTCCGGAAACCAAAGAGAAGAAAACCAGACGAGGAGTACTTAGGCATTTTAGGGCCACTTATCCGTCTCAATGTTGGTGACACTTTAAAAATTGTATTCCGTAATAAAGCCATGAGACCCTATTCAGTTCATGCAGAGGGACTTCATTATAGCAGCGTTCGTTCTGCTGCTTGGGACCCAAGCGAGCGTGATCAACCAATTGCAGATCCTGGGAAAACGGTGACATATTTGTGGAAGGTGACAGCGGATGTAGGACCTGGAGAGGGTGATGCGCCGTGCGTGACGAGGATGTATTACTCAGACGTTGACGTGGCTGCAGACACAAACTCCGGACTCGTGGGACCCCTGGCTATATGCAAACCGGAAGTGCTGGGAACGGATGGAAGACGAAGCGACGTTGACAGGGATTTTGCCGTATATTTTGCCATGTTTGATGAAAATCTCAGCTGGTATATAGATGAAAATATTAACACCTTTGCCGGGCGTCCAGACTTGGTGAATCCGACTGACTTATCATTTGTGAACAGTAATCATATGCACGGTAGGCAAATTTACTTTGTCTAGTGAGTGTCCGAGATTATAATATTACTATGAGCGTTTTAACAATTTTATTGCATATATTAAGTTCATGATGTTGATCACTGGATCGTCTGGTCCAGACTCGATTATTTACAGACCACCGCCATATAGCTGGAATATTGCTGAGTGCGGCGTTAAACAACGAACCAACCAACCATGATGTTTTCACTTTATCCAATTTGAAGACTGCCACATGTCGTCTTCTCAACAGCAAGGAGCCAGCCATTAGTTCCCTTTCCACGAAGAATGGTTCAAACATATTTTATTTAACAAAACTATGGATCGGTAAGCAAGCCGTAATGTACTGGCTTATGGGATTGCCTGTCCATTACAAGAATTTGGAACTGGATTTAAATAAATATATATGATCATAATGGGGGAAATGTGTGGGTACCACTGACTGATATATGAGCAGAATTTCTGTCAAACATCATTGAGTATTTATCCAGTCCTTACTTTGCAGATCTATTAGATTTCGCGATAAGTAAGTGGACAGATCCAAAGATATATGAATTAACCCAATAATGTCTTTGACATTCTTCTTAACTTGCTTATATGGCACAACGATGATCATTATTGTTAACTTTTTAAGAAAGCGTGTTTTAATGTACTATTTTTAAGTCAATAGTCTCTAATACCTTCTCCGGTGGACTTATTGTATTTTAGGTTTTATCAAAGGGCTTTCTTTGTCCTTCCTCTGTTTTTAGAAGTGCAATCTGTATGAGAAAACGTAACTTAAAGGTTACTAATTCTTTTCAAGTTCGTTATTGTTCATGACCTTTAAAATAATGCATGAACATGAAGAAGTCATGAAAGTGAAATATTGTGACATTATATATATACAATTAGGAAGGATGACAATACATCAGAAAATTCTTGATATACACAACTTAAATCTATAAGGACTTTCTATGTCATTAATTTCATTACAATCTGTCTGTTTTCAGTGATTAATGGATACATGTTTGGAAACGCCATAAGTCCAACAATGTATGAAGGAGAGCGGATCGACTGGTACATGATGGCGCTAGGTTCGGACTTCGACCTTCACTCCATTCATTTCCATGGTAACGTGATGACAGAATACAGTGACACGTGTCGTATAAATGACGTTAGTCAGTTATATCCAGGGATGTTCATAACAGTGAGGATGGCCGCCGACAATCCAGGAACCTGGCTCTATCATTGTCATGTGAACAACCACATCATTGCTGGAATGGAGGGGAAATACAGAGTCATCCCAAATACAACCAGACATGGACCAAATGTCAAAGATGTGAAAAATGTCAAAGACGTAATTATTTAGATAAGGATTAAAATCAGTTTTGTCATTGTTTTGTCCCTAAGCATCACATTCTCACTATTCTTACCATACAATTTGGTGAGGACATGGACCAAATGTCAAAAATGTACAAGAACTTGAGACTAATTGGATGTATATGTTCCATTTGAATTCCTGTTCATGTATATTTTTAATAATATTATTGTTATTATAGAATATTTATATAGCGCACATATCCATGCATCTAGTACGTGCTCAAGGCGCTGACATTTTTCCCCTCGATCACTGGACGTCAATCTCAACGGCACATCGTATTATAAATCTCAACTCCCCGGGGATCATACAACTCTTGCAGTCACTAGGTGCACCGAGTTATTGAGGCTTTCCCATCCTTACGAGGTACCGATTCACAGTACTAGACCCATAGTCACAGTACTTTGTCCAAGTTCACTGCACGTTGCTGTATCCGTAACTAGGTGTTTGCACGTATTCATGTGGCCACCATCTGGTCATATACCAACGGATTCGTGGGTTCTTGTAACTGCACAGGGCTGTGTACTGTACACTAGGGGTTGTGACAACACTGAAAGACTCTGCACACAAAGTTGAATCCAAGGTTTTCACCCCCGGTCACAGATGGGCTTGATCCCGTCACCTCAAGCTCGCCGGATCACTAGCCTAGCGCCTTAGCCAGCTCGCCTACCATGCGAATGTATGCATGCTTATATAAATGCAGCTTTAAATGCATTTCAAGACAGTAATTATTCAGATGAGCATTAAAATCATGTTTTGTCATTTTGTTGTCCTTTCTGTCCTCAGAAATCACATTCCCATTATCCTTACGTTACAATTTGGTGAGGACACATAGTGAATCTCCACACAACGATATACTGATTGTAGTGAACTGCAAGGGAGGACAAAGTGAGAAAGAAGATCAAATACAATAAAAATCCGCGCATAATGTCCTACCTCAGTATGTAAACGATAACTGCAAATCATTAATAAATGTAAGAAATGTGAAAATATCTGTGTTCATCTCGCACCATTAAGACATTCTTGCAAATATTTTACTTATCCGATTGTGCTTCTCTGATCCGTTATCTGATCGAAATTTAACAACAGTATCTTGTTGTCAGTGAATTATTGAATCGTGGTGCCAGGATTGTTGTCAGTGAATTACTGAATCGTGGTGCCAGGATTGTTGTCAGTGAATTATTGAATCGTGGTGCCAGGATTGTTGTCCGTGAATTATTGAATCGTGGTGCCAGGATTGTTGTCAGTGAATTATTGAATCGTGGTGCCAGGATTGTTGTCCGTGAATTATTGAATCGTGGTGCCAGGATTGTTGTCAGTGAATTATTGAATCGTGGTGCCAGGATTGTTGTCAGTGAATTATTGAATCGTGGTGCCAGGATTGTTGTCAGTGAATTATTGAATCGTGGTGCCAGGATTGTTTTCCGTGAATTATTGAATCGTGGTGCCAGGATTGTTGTCAGTGAATTATTGAATCGTGGTGCCAGGATTGTTGTCCGTGAATTATTGAATCGTGTTGCCAGGATTGTTTTCCGTGAATTATTGAATCGTGGTGCCAGGATTGTTGTCAGTGAATTATGGAATCGTGGTGCCAGGATTGTTGTCAGTGAATTATTGAATCGTGGTGTCAGGATTGTTGTCCGTGAATTATTGAATCGTGGTGCTAGGATTGTTGTCCGTGAATTATTGAATCGTGGTGCCAGGATTGCTGTCAGTGAATTATTGAATCGTGGTGCCAGGATTGTTGTCATATGTTTAGTGTGAAATATATAAGGGTTTGACGATGACAGCAGATTCAAACTAACAAACACCATTTAATGAACATACGTGACAATACTTTATCATACTTTTCACGTACCGCATCACCTTACATGAACATTATAATCAACATTAAAGCTTCTTCCACACCTGTATAATGTATACATGTATCAGACATGTCTACAACACACATAAATAGATCAGCATGAGAATTATTTTCAAGATACTGCTAGCTATTATACAACGAAACAATATATTAAATATCGCGAAGGCAACAATAACGCGTATATGTATGACAATTATTTACATGTTATGCAATCAACACCACAAACCGCGAGGAGATAAACGCAAATTGCTTCTGCTGCTCAAATATCTATCGTTCCACTCTAAATATACAGTATGTTTAATCATTTTACAATTCTGATTAATTAAATGAAAACGCTTTCATTTTAATTCAATCAAACCATCCTAATAAGTGGTAATGATTTAACAAAAAATCATATAACATGTCTGAAAAACATTTAAGAGAATTCATTCCCCAACTGTTTGAAGAAACCATGACAACAGAAAAGTGATCTGTTTTCCTTAATATAAAAAATTGGACATATCCATACAGCCGAAGTGGTGTTGAAGTGTTCTACGTGAGTGTTGGAAATGACTAAAAACAAAAATACAATTGAAATTACATTCAGTTTGTTTGACAGGAACCCAGCACAAGGTGCACCATTGATTTAACGTTCAACTGGCATGATGTCGCTAAGGGTTTGTTTGCATATCTATTAAATCTTAAGGCTGACGAATGTCCAAACAGCCATTGTTGAGTGCAGCTGTCTGAAATGTTTTGTTATTGCTGAACATGGATAGAGAATACCAGACATGTATAATGAATGTACGTCGCTCAGGTAGAACACTATTATATGGAAATGCTTTCTGAAGTTGCTCAGGGAAATCACTGAAAAGTTTTCAATTTGACATCAAACACCGAAGTTTCTTGAGAAGCACCTACAGGATAAATAGATGCAAGCTGGGTTTGAAAGGGTCGCGGACTTAATGTTTGTTCAGGCAGCAAGCACACTTTCACTGTTTTATGCAAATTGTGTGAGGCCTGAGTGATATCGGTGGAGCTTGACATGATTACCGTTCCGTGAACAATTAGTGTAATTGATTTTCGATGATCCATTCTCGTAATTGTCACCGCTAGTTTGCCTCCTTTTAATCAGTGGCTGAACTGAACTGAACTTTATTCACTCAGGGTGCAAACTGCAGAATAAGAGGTACATAAGTAATATTTACATTTATACAACATAAAAATTATATACAAGCGGTATGATAGGTGCAATATACATTGAGCTATTTACATGTTAAATTATTGAAGGTATTTCTTAAATAAGGCCATAATTAGTTTACAAAATATTGAAAGTTTTCTTAAAGTTCCTAGCTAATTAGTGTTAAAATAGGATATTCATTTTATACATATTTGGTTTAATAAAATAGTAATACTTATGGATATATTTTTCTCTTTCTAATTCTAATTTGGAACATATATATATATATATATGATGAAATTCGTCACCAATATAATTTAGGTTACACATTTTACACTTTCTATCATTTACCTGGATTCGTCACCATCTACCTGTCTCAACTGGAGGAAAATTATTGGAAGTTCGAAATTTTAACAAGTTATTGTAATGCAGAAAAATTCGCTAATGTTCAAAATTGAGAGATGGTATTTTAAAAATGTTATAAGTGGTTGCTATAAGAGGTTTCAATTGTTGACATCCATGTTTGCTGATAAATACCTTTTAATTACTTTTGAAAACAGTTTTAAGCCAAAATATACTTTTAAAATGTTGTGATTTCCAGTTGAAACTCAGTCCAAGATCATCGAAAATTCTCTCAAGGTAGATTATCCATTTATGTTCACACTTGCCAAATATATAATCGTTGAATATTAATTTATATATTAAGAAGTAAAATTTTGACGATTTTCCGATAAAAAGTTTAGCCCCAAAACATACCATTCTGCTTTTAATAACATTTACAAGTGGGAATCTACCAAACTCGAAATATGCCATAAAGTTAGGTGAACTTTTCCTGAGAGATACTAAATATTTGAGAAAGCGTAGATGAACATTGTCAAAACAAGAAGTATTTTTTAACCCCCCAGACCTCAAATCCATATAAAAGAATCGGGGTGACCATACAACCAAACGATTTCAAATGACAATCAGTGGAAAGTTTAAGTTTTCTACCTTGGCCTAATACGAAAAACATTGCTTTTACTGCCTTTTCAACCAGTATACGTTTCGTTTTAGTAAATTTACTATTCTTTTGTAGTGTAATACCAAGATACGGATAATAATCTACATTTTCGAGCATAGTATCTCCAATATTGAAACTTCTTTTATATTGTTTTTGAGATCCACCGAAAATAAGAATTTTGGATTTGGATGTGTTAATTTTAAGCTTCCGGTCAGGGTGCTTGTCAAAGGAAGTTTTAGCCATGGCTTTGGCTGTCATGTTGTTGGTAGCATATGCCTGTGCATAGCTCATACAGTGACCCATGCCAACTAACACACAATGTTTTCCCCCTTTGCATGGTTCAAGGTTCAGCCTTGGATACTAACTCTAATGGCGGAGATGTCTCAGTTTACAAGTGGAGCTGCCTGATCTGTTGGAGTCTTCCAGCAGACGCATCTCCTGCAGCTTGTAATTCAGTCATCAACGTCGTTAGACTTATCTGGCCAGAGGAATCTCTTCCTCAAGAGTAACACAATTCGGTATCTTCCTTGGATGGCCCATGTTATCATGAAGACCTTGTCACATACTCGAGTAAACACAAACCCTAAATTTAAAAGTTAATATAATTTATTAACTAAATCTACCTTACTTACAATAGTTCATAGAGACTTGCATTCCCAACTTCATTCTCACATCACCAAACACACCCACATACGTTCCCCAACACACGCAAGCACGCACATCATACCT